ATTAAATGTTCATCCTTTGTGATACCATGATGCCCATTGCCTTCTCTACTAGTAGGGGGGGGGGGGGGGGGGGGGGGGGGGCGCCTCATAATCTCCACAATCATTTCATTTATAGAATGATCACCAATATATAGTAGACATATCTCTATTGTTGTGCTGCACCTGTTACTCCCATCCCTTCTCTCTTTCTTCACCTACATTTGCTCTTTTCTTCTCTTCAGTTACCGCCTTTCTATGTTCCTGATAGCACTCATTTTTCCTACCCCCCTGGGAATGTTCCAGCTGTTTGAGTCTGGTCCTTTTCTCACTCCCTTGCTCGGAAAGCCCAACTGCTACTGAGCTTTCCTGCTCTCTTTTTTTTTTTTTTTACCACTTCTGCTCTCATTCTTCATGCCATCACAGTGTACACAGATGGCTCTAAGTCATTTGAGGGAATAGGAATTGCAGCAGTGTTTCTGGACAGTGTCTATGAGTGTCCATTTACTATCTTCAGCTAGTATTTTTACTCTGAAATTGGTGTGTCATTCTTGCAGTGCACTTATCCGTATGCAAATTCCCTAACCGGGCCTATGCCGGATATGTCATCATTGGTGTTGGGTTGTCTCAGACATCCCTTAGTGCTTTATAGCGGGGGGGGGGGGTGATACGGGGGGTAAATTTTGATAACCCTCACCCCCTTAAGTTTCTTTCTCCTTATCCCAACTTTTGCTAAGCTGGCATTCTTTAACCAAGAATGAAGATATTGTTTTTTGTGGGTCCCTGTCATTTTGACGACAGGGCAATGAACAGGCAGATACTGCTGTTTCATATAGAGGTGTTCCATTTACAGACTATTTTGCTGTAATAGCTACCCACCTTCACACCCGTTGGCAACAATGTTGGTCTACTCCTGCTCGATAACAAACTTCAGTCTATTAAACCGATATAGGTTACTGCTGTCTTCTTTCTGTTCATCAGTGCCAAGGTTGGGAGACTACTCTCTCCCATCTTCCACATTTGGCCTCACACTGTTTTACTCATGGGTATGTCATGAGAGGCACCCAGTTCCCTCCTCTGGTGAAAGTGTCAGGGCTCCAATATCGGTTACCCACATTCTGTTAGATTCCCTCTTCTTTCACGAGCACACAGAATTTACCTCCAACATCGACTCTGCTCTTCTACTCTTTCCTTTACCTCCCTTCTTGCTGATGGACCCTCCTTTAATCCTGACTCTCTCATGACTTCTTACAACGACTGATTGTCTCCACAAACTCTGATGATGATACCTTTTGCACTGCCCCTTAGCCCTTTCTTCCTCAATTCTTGCTACCCATTTACCCCTTCACTGTCCAACTGCCCCACTGTTCTCCATAACCTAATAATCATCCCTCTCCCTTTTGCCACCCTATACCTTCGCTTCCTTCCTGCCTTGCCAGCACTGTGTAGGCCCTTGTGATTTAGCGCTTCTTTTTTATTACATATCATATTTGAGATATTTTGATACTAGAACTCGAGTGAAAGATATGGTACAAAAAAAGAATTGCACAGTAGTGTGTTAGAACATACACTAGTTAGTTATTTGTAGTTTTGGGAGCAAAGGGAAAAGTTTGCTAAAGATTATACGATAATTAGTAACAGTGGCTTTTTAAGGTGGGAATAGTAATGGTAATACAGGCATTTATTAAAGAGTAAGGATCTTGTAAGAAATAATGAATTGTTGAATGGGAAAATCGGGAAATAACACAATTTGATCACACAAGGAACTGTGTGGGACACTTGGGATAATGAGTAGTAAATACTATCCGGGAGGTGATAGTACAGGGATTAGTTCAATAATGGCATAATAACATACACTAATGTAGTAACAAAGATTTGGTCACTAATATCAGTCAGACTTCTGTATGTTTTGCATCATGAAGAAGTTTAACTAAGTTTATTTTCATTTTGTAAATACCAGTACACAAACGGTCTACATTTTGATCTTCTTACTAGAAATTTGTCATCACATACGAAACACTGGTGAATTTTATCATTATTCTCATGTTTCAGTTTCTATCACTCTGTACAGGAGGTTCTGTCGTTTTCCTTTAAGGCACTCATTTATGTGTATTTCTTTTTTTGCTTTAATAAATAACTTATTAGAGCTTTATTTGTCTGTCTTGTGTGTGAAATTCTAAGAATAACACTTCCTTCTCCCTTGGTTCCCTAGTAACTGTGATTCCTTTTATTTCTGACACTGGCACACTAGCATGTAGGTCATCTTGTATGATCTGAAGAGTTGTAGCTTTGCAGTTTGTATGGTTTAATTCACTAGGAATGAGTGGACTGTTAATCACTATTGCATCAGCTAGCTTATCTTGCTCTACTTTATCATCTTGGTAAGCAAAACAATTGTTCAATTGGGTATCCATGTTTATTTTTCCAGTACCTTGATGACATCTTCAACCTTTGTGTTTAGGGAAGTTTATTTTATCTGTGTGGCTGGCAATGAACTGCTTGGAGGGTCTTGCTAAAATCAGTCATGCCAGTTGATGTTAGGTGTTGTTCAAGGCTGTTGATCTTATTCTCAAGGTAAAGTAGCTTAGATTCACGGTTTGTTATTGTTGCATGAAGAGTCATAATTTCAGGTACGAAGAATTCAGGTTTATCTGCCGTTAGGATGGTGATGTATTTCTTTAGAGTGTCAGGATCATTAGTCCATACCTGGGAATGTGGTCAGATGGGTTAAATCCTATGAAAGGTAGTAAAGGTGGAGAGTGAGTCAGTCATGGTTTGGAGTTGTTGTATCGAGTCGCCTTGGTTGGGTGGGTGAGGGTGAGTCGGCCAGTGTTGTTTGGTGATGCATCGCTCTGGGTGTTAGGGGGGTGGACGGGGTGCTGGTGTCCCTGCTGGTCATCTTATGGTCTAGTTGATTCTAGGTGTTGCCCTTGCTGTTTTTATAAAATGCTGGTTTCTTCTATGATTTGGTCTATAGTAGTACAGGAGTTTTGCAGTGGTTATATAAGAAACTAATTAATTAAGAGCTTGGAGCAGGTAGTTCCGTCGGCAGCGGGGCAGTGCTTGGACTTTGTGGGGTCAGGTCTTCACTTCAAATCGGTATTTCTCATTTTGTAGGTATCACTGTTGTTTATCTTGGATCATGCTGGGTTCTACATATGGTTAGAGCAGTTATGATTGCAATTAGGCCATCATAGAAATGTTGATGGGCTCTGGCCTGGTGAAAAAAATTGAAGAGCTGCTGCCTTGCTGCCGCTGCCTAAATGTGGAAGTTTTGGCTGCGTTCTGTATTTTTAGCTAGTGCTTTAACTAACTTCCTTATGCAAAGAGCTATGTCCTGCATTCATTAAGATCTCCCAGTATTCAACCTATATCTAGGCTCGTCCTTCAACAAAATACATAGGCTCACCTAGTGGTTCTTTGCACTTTTTTTAATTTGGTCCAGGTGCAGAATGAGTACATGTTATCCAATTTCCTTTTTAGAATCTTGTGGGATTTGTACCAATATCAGTTAGTTGGTCGATGCAGGCTGTCTGCTGAATGAAAAATGTTTCTGCTTCTCTACCTTGCTGTTATTTAGTGGGCTGCTGAACATCCGACTCCTTCTGTTCTTTTAAGAATTTCACTCATTCCTTCCTCTTCATTTTTTAGTATACAAATCTCCTCTCAAATAATGGTCCCAGGTCCAACTCTAAGCAGGTAGTTCTTAGTTGGATTTTGCATAGGAATAGAAATAGTTTGGGTTTCTTAGCAATTCCGTAAGGTCCTTTTGGTTCCCTTTGTATTTCCTTGTGAGGTATGACATCCTTAAATTTATTCTCTTAATTCAATGATCTCTCGACTAAGACTATCCAATTCCCTACTATTAAACATATTTGTTTTTTAACAATCCCCCAGGAACCTGTTTATCCTTTCTTCTGTTCCATCCCTACTCTCTCTCTATCTTGCTGGGTTTCGTCCTTTGTACATGTTTTAATACATACCTTGTGTGCTTTCTATATCACCTTCTCTAGGCACTGGTGGGGATTTAGGGTGCCCAGTCTGATTCCCAGGACAATACTGATTAGTTCTTGGTTTATGTTTTCATCAGTCAACTCTATGTTGTTGAAATTTAAGCTTGCTTAACATCCCTGATTTTAATATTGTTTTGTACTTCTCTGTGTGGTCAAAGTATATTGTTTTTTTGTAATTTTTTTGTCTGTGATTTGATCCTCTCTGTTTGGATTATCAATCCAGGGTATTTTCATTTCTAGTGGATCAGTTATCTGTTGGTTCAATGAGCACTTTCACAAAGGCCACATTAGTTCTTTTTTGAGCCAGGGTGCTTCCCGAGAATTTTTTCTGGTATAATGGTATGGTGAGGCCCATCTTTCCATTGCAGATACAAGTGGTTTATTCCTTATGCATTTAAAATGTGGCCAGGTAATATAAGTATTCACAGCAGAGTTCCTGCACCTTGGAAGAAAGTGGAGGGATATGTGTTGCTTGGAGGATCATTTGTATTGTTATGTCTGCTTTCTTACTGTCAAATCAGTTACTGATTGAATGAGAGTGAATGTGTGTCTAATTTGGGTCTTCACTACCTCAATGGGGGATGCCAGTTGTTTTTTACAAACTTAGTAAAGAAATTCTTCAAAAATTTTATGTAGTAGAAGATACAGTTAGTTGTTTATTAGTGAATGTTTAGAAAACATGCTTTGTTAACTTTGAAATATACCACTCAAATATTTCTTTTTTTAATTCTAAGTCTTTCAAACAAACAGTTTATCAACACTGACCTGTTAATTTCCTGCTACTAGCCTGTAGCTTCCCTGGATATTACCCAGTAGCTTTCCTTGCTGCTACTTTTCCCCTAGATACTAACCTGTAGCTTTCTAGACTGCACTTCCTGGATAGTACCTTGTAGCTTCCTAGCGCTATTTCCCAGATACTATCCGCTGTAGCTTCCTAGCTTGCTACTTCCCTGGACACTACCTGTAGCTTCCTACCTGCTTCTTTCCCTAGATACTACCCTGAGCTTCCTAACCTGCTTCTTCCCTAGATACTACCCTGTAGCTTCCTAGCTGCTTCTTCCCTAGATACTACCTGTAGCTTCCTACCTGCTTCTTCCCTGGATACACTACCCTGTAAGCTTCCTACCTGCTCTTCCCTAATACTACCCTGTAGCTTCCTGCCTGCTTCTTCCCTGGATACTACCCTGTAGCTTCATACCTGCTTCTTCTTCCCTAGATACTTACCCTGTAGCTTCCTAGCTGCTACTATCCCTAGATACTAACCCTGTAGCTTCCTAACCTCTTCTTTCCCTAGAATACTACCGCTGTAGCTTTCCTACCTGCTTCTTCCCTAGATACTACCCTGTAGCTTCCTACCTGCTTCTTCCCTAGATACTACCCTGTAGCTTCCTACCTGCTTCTTCCCTAGATACTACCCTGTAGCTTCCTACCTGCTTCTTCCCTAGATACTACCCTGTAGCTTCCTAGCTGCTACTTACCCTAAGCAACACCCTGTAAGCTTCCTACCTGCTTCTTCCCAGAACTACCCTGTAGCTTCCTACCTGCTTCTCCTAGATACTACCTGTAGCTCCGTACCTGCTTCTTCCCTAGATACTACCCTCTAGCTCCTAACTGCTTCTTCCCTAGATACTACCCTGTAGCTTCCTAGCGGCTAACTTCCCCTGGATATTACCTTGTATCTTTCCCAGACTCCTCTCCTGTATCTTCCCAGATTTCTCCCAAGAACCCTCCTAGATTTTCTCCCCATTACCTTCCTAACTTTTCCCAGTACCTTCCTAGAATTTCCCAGTCGACCTTCCCTAGATTTCACATCAGTACTTCATAGTAGACTTCTCAGTACCTTCCTAGACTTCTCCCCAGTGCCTTCCCTAGACTTCTCCCCAGTAACTTCCCTAGACTTCTAGTACCTTCCTAGACTTCTCCCCCAGTACTTTCCGAAAAAAAGACTTCTCCCCAGGTACCTTTCCCTAGACTTCTAGTACCGTCCAAGACTTTTTCTCCCAGTACTTTCCTAGACTTCTCCACAGTACCTTCCTAGACTTCTCTTCTCCAGTACCTTCCTAAACTTTTCCCCCTACCTTCCTAGACTTCCTCCCAGTACCTTCCAGACTTTCTCCATACCTTCCTAGACTTCTCCCCAGTACCTTCCTAGACTTCTCCCAGTACCTTCCTAGACTTCTCCCAGTACCTTCCTAGACTTCTCCCCAGTACCTTCCTAGACTTCTCCCCAGTACCTTCCTAGACTTCTCCCAGTACCTTCCTAGACTTCTCCCAGTACCTTCCTAGACTTCTTCCCCAGTAACCTTTCCTAGACTTCTCACTTCTCCTCACAGTAACCTTCCTAGACTCTCCCCAGGTAACCTTCCTACACTTCTCCCATACCTTCCTAGACTTCACCCAGTACCTTCCTAGACTTCTCCCCAGTACCATCCTAGACTTCTCCCCAGTACCATTTCCTAGACTTCTCCCAGTACCTTCCTAGACTTCTCCCAGTACCTTCCTAGACTTCTCCCAGTACCTTCTTAGATTTCTCCCCAGTACCTTCTTTGACTTCTCCCCAGTACCTTCCTAGACTTCTCCCAGTACCTTCTTAGATTTCTCCACAGTACTTTCTTTGACTTCTCCCCAGTACCTTCCTAACTGTCTCCCTAGTAACATTCCTAGACTTTCTCTCCCGTACCTTCATGCACTTTCTCCCCAGTACCATTCCTAGACTCCTGCCGTATCTTCTCAAACTCCATCCCTCTGTATTTCCCTGACTCCTGCCCTGTACTCCCCTCTCCTGTGATCTTTGGCAACTGTAAGTAGCATTAGTGGGAATGTGTGTTGCACATTAGCTACTACTTAAATTGACCATCTACTGGCCCAGTAATAAGTTGCCACTTTATCTCTCCTATTCTTTATAATAATTAGATACCATTTATATTACAAAAAAATGGAGCAGCTTTACAGATGTTAGAGCGCATCCCCTAGAAACACAGTTTGAAAACTTGTCTGGGAAAAGAAACCATATAAAATGTTCAGAATGACATAAAAATGTTTCAGTGATAGTTAAGGTTGTTTTATCATATGAGAATTCAAACAGGAGAAAACCATATAGTGTTTCAGAGTGTCAGAAGTATTTAGAAATAAATATTATCTGTACAGCATATGAGAATTCACACAGGAGAGAAACCAATCATTTTTCAGAATGTCAGAAGTATTTTAATAGATAAATATATCTTGTACAGCATATAAGAATTCGACACAGGAGAGAAAACCAATCGGTTTCAGAATGTCAGAAATTTTAGAGATAAATATATTTCTTGTTCAGCATATGAGAGTTCACACAGGAAGATCACCATAATCATGTTCAGAATGTCAGAAATTTTTGCACAGAAAATTTATCTTGTTAACCATCAAGAACTTCATACAGGAGAAAGACCTTCAACTGTCGGTAATGCCTGAAAAGTTTTAAAAGAAAGAAATGCTCTTCTAAACATGTAAAAACTCATTCCAGTTCATAAAATGGAACAATATCATGTTCCATATTGTCCATAAATATTTTAACACAAAAATATAATCTTGTAGTTCATATAAGACTTTCATACAGGAGAGAAACCATTCATGTGCAGAATGTTTAAACTGTTTCATGAGAAAGATGATCTTGTAGCACACATGAGAGTTCATACCAAGAAAAAACCATTTCAGAGTGTTCGAGTGTCAGAAAGTATTTTTTACAGCAAAATGTAGCATTATAGAAACACATGAAAGTTCATACAGGGAGAGAAAACCATTTCAATGTCAGAGTGTCAGAAGTATTTTTAAACATAAGATAGTATTGGGCACACAAGAGAGTTCATACAGGGAGGAGAAGGCCAATCATGTTCAAAATGTCTAGATATTTCAAGGTATAAAAATATCTTAGACAACACATTAAAGCTCATGACAAATAACATTTTCAAGCAAGGCTTGAAGTTTTTTATGCAAAAAAAAGCAGAATTCATGAGAAAAAGAAAAAGTTTGGCATCTGTTACTTATGGTGTACTCATCTAAATGTGGCTGCAGGGTACAAAAAAAAAAAAAATCACCAGCCTGTGTGTCATGAAAGGCAAATGAAATGCCAAGAAACAAAGGGTTAAGTAACCTTTTCTCTTGTATAAATTACTATTTGTAAAAAGAAAAGCTTTTTAGAGTGTTATTATTTTTTTTTTGGTCACTCAGGTGGGTGAATGTTTGGTGAGTTTAAAATAAAATTAGTTACAATTGACCAACAATTAAGACAGTATTTGGATTTTTGAAAATGGTGTCAAGACAATTGCCTAAAACTAAATGAAGAACTCATTAGGGACAATATGGTTACATATGACCTGGAACTCCCCAAAAAGGCCAAAGCTGTTTTCCCTTGTGGTCTCAAATTGTAAATAAATAAAAAATGGTGTGATTGAGTTGGTTGTCTTAAATCATTATGTTAAATTAATCACTTAAATTTATTTAGTTATAACTGTCACTTTTTGATTTGCTATAATTTGGAGGAAAAGGACTCTAGGAACTCAAAGATTTTCCTTTGACATATTGCTCCCTACTTCATTGGAGCCCATGTGTAATTATAACAAGGGAAATGTAGTAGACACTCTAATTTGTTAGTGGGGAAGCTTGAATGGTCAAGGGACCCCATTCTACCCACAGGTTTTGATTCGAACCAGAAGTTAAATTCTCCTGTTTCTTTATATTCTGTTCCATTTTAAACCCTAAGAATTTTTAAGTATTTTTTGTCAAAATGGAACAGTATAAAATTTTGGATAATACAGGAATTAGTTTTAGGAATTACCAGACAAAATCTTGAAACTCTATAGCGCTAAGATCCAAGTGAAAGAAAAAAGGAGAGAGAATGAATGAAAAGAGAAGAAATAAAGAGTGAAGTAAACAAACTTATGCCTATCACTGTGGGACATATATTTGTTTTTCTCTGACATTTTTAATTTTTATAATTTTTGGTTGTAATAATTGCTCTGCTGTGTTCTTTTATCCTCGACTAATAAGGCCCATTTATTATACTTTCTCTCACCTTCATGAGTACTCTTATATAACCCTTTGTTTTTAGTCTTTTTTCAACAAACTCTGGATTCTATTAATTGTAGCCTGTGTAGCAGCACGTTAGCTTCTGTTCACTTTACTTTGTAAGTAAATTTTAATCCGAAATTTGTAGATAGACTCATTAATGTCAGTTTATTACTTTTGTATACCTATATTGAATAATTAATCTAATCTTCCAACTTTGTGTCTTAAGTTGTATTGTATAACTTTACCTTTTTATGAATTTTGAGCTTGTAGCCCCATACTCCTTCCATATTGACTCTTATGCACTGCTGCTGCTGTTGCAAAGTCTCCCAGCCATGGTATTGTTGAGCGACAGTAATGTTGCATATTGGCACCTTTGTAATGCTTTTTGTGTAAAGGTGGTATGTGAAACACTTGGTATTCACAGAAAAACATGAAAAATGGGGTGGTTCATAATAACTTCTCAAGGTGGTTCCACCGGCTTGTGGGCATCATAGGTACTCTTGTCTGATGCAACTCTAAACCCACCTTTAGGCATCACCTTGATTATGACCTAATTAATTTAAACAATGAACTTGTCTGAGAATGGATGTTGTGTGCTGCTTTCCTTTCTACTTTATGTGCATTACTATTTGTAATAATGTTGGTAGAATACCAACAATATGTAAAGTAAAAAAGACTCAAGTGCATCTAATTGTGACATTTTATTGTGGTAATGTTTCATCTCCAGGAGCTTTTGTCAAGCTTTGACAAAGCCCTGGAGACAAAATCATTGCCACAATAAAACTGTCACATTAGTAGCACTTGTGTCCTTTTACTTTACATTACTAGTATTTGTATGCAATAAAGCTAAGACTAAGAGATGTTTTTGACCTATCCACCAATTTTCTGGATTAACTCAGTGTTATTCCCACAGAGGTATAACAACCCTGCCATAACAAAAACTGATGATCACCACTTGGTATTCCTTTGAGATATAATGGACCACCCACCTGATTCACCCTCCATCTCCACCTGATCATGAACTAACTTTTATGCTTATTGTCCTTCTTTTTTGCTCCAACATAACGATTCTGCCATTTTTTAAACCAAATGCATTCATGTTTTGTGTATAATTATTAGATTCGACACAACTTTACAGTGGTACCCCTTCCAAGGGGGCTCCTTGGCGTGGTGAAGAGGCTCTTGTCTGAGGAATTAGACCTGTCGTCTACTTCCTCAGACCGAACCTAATTACCCCCCAATCCTCCCGTTCCTATCCATCCTCCCCTTTTTCCTTTCCCTCCTCCTCCTCCCCACCCCACCCCTTTGCCCTTCCTTTTTGGCCTTTTTTTTTTTTTTTTTCTCATCAGGCTCGCTAGTTCCTAAGGTAGGGGAAAGGGTACCGGGGTCCATCCCATTCTGTTAGGTTCTTGGCGTGGCGTAGT